TGGCTTGGTTTCTGCAACTTGCGGCCCATGTGTGCACCAGATGCAGCTTGACAGGGGCTCTCAGGAGGTAAGTCGATGCCGAGGTTCTCTGCCCCAATAGTAGTCACTGGTCAGCAGCGGCATTACCGCACGGAAGGCCTGAAGCCTTTGGCTCTGAGTTTGCACTTGTGTGATTAAAGGGCATCCACAGAATCGGTGTAGTGTCGTGAGTAGGATGATGGTATTTCTACCCCAAAATGTCTAGTGCCTCCATTAATAGAGGTAAATTTTCTATGAATGCAGTCGGAGAAAGGGGATCTGCCTCCTGTAAAGAATAAAATTATTAAAATATTTTAAGAACACCATTAAATATATGGCACGGATCTTTAGTAATGGATGCATGGGTATAAAAATTGTTGTATTCACTTTCACGTGTGTCAATTTTGTGACTATGTACCAGATTTTTTTAAAATTAAAACCGTATAAAACTGTTGCTTCTACATTTGTAATTTTTGTTGTCTTTTTTTTAGTATGTCAAAATTATAAAATGTTTATTTTTTCCCCTGACAATTTATACATTAATTACATGCGCAATATATGAAGACAAATGAAAAATTTTATTAAAAAAAAAAAAGCACAATTGCAACTGAAAGACTTTTTTTATACAATAATAGTAACAAAAAATGTGAAAAAGCTACATGTCTGTCACAGAAATTTGATGAGAGAAAAATTGCATGTCTGCTCCTCTGTTTCATACATTGAGGAACAAATTTGTGACATAAAATAAAGATTGAAAATGGAATGAGAAATCGGAAATGTGACAAAAATGTTGCATTTCTGTTCCTCTACTTGTAACCATCTATTCTTCTATCTTACCTAGCCTAACTTTACGAATTGATGCTAATTACACTTTTACTTTTAAAACCATAAAGCATTCAGCATAAAACCTTTGTGCTTGTGTTCTCGAACATTCACTGCTGTTGCACCTAAACATTGATCAGAGACACCCACAAAAGCCAAGTAAGTAATCAGTGCCTGCTTATAGGGATAATGTAGGCACTATAACCAATTCAAATTATTTAAGTGGTTATTGTGCATTCCTTTGCTAAACTGACAAAACAGGGCTTGTAGATCTACCTCCAAGCCCTGTCTATCACAGAACCAGGAAATTCACTTTTCATCTCTCATACCAAATAATTCCAATAGGGCTGCCATCAGAAATTTTTACATAGCTCACGGCCTGGGCCAAATCCAGGGCTGTCCCCAAATCTAGCTACTCGGCCTACCCCCCCTCATGCCACCACCATCCTGCAGGCACTTAGTGCTGTGGTGTGGGATATAATGTGTGTGCCTGTAAGGGATGTGTGTATAGAGGATGTAGTGTGTGTGTGAGGGAGTCACTTAAGTCCTGCAAGTTGCGAGGTGGGGCCTCCATTGATCGGATTTGTCTTCCCAGCATGTCCCTCAGATGCTCAATCAGATACAGATACGCAGTCCCATATACAGCAAACTGCGATGCACTGCATGTTCTGACACCTTTCTATCTTGACCAGCATTAAATTTTCAGCAATTTGAGCTGCAGTAACTTTGATTGGACGTGCGTCAATGAGTCTAGGGCGCCCATGACCCTGATGCCTGTTCACTGCATGTCATTCCTAGCACCACAGTTGGTAGGTACTAAAAACTGCATATCGGGAACACCCCATGTGACTTGCTGTTTTGGAGATGCTCTGACCCAGTTGTCCAGTAATCACTATTTGACACTTAGATCTTTTCACTTGCCCATTTTTCCTGCTTCCAACACATTAAATTCAAGAACTGACTGTTCACTTGCTGCCTATTATATCACACCCCTTAGTAGGTGCCATTGTAATGATATAATCAAATGTTATTTGCTTCATCTACTAGTGGTTTTAATGTTGTTGCTGATCAGTGTGTATATATATATATATACACACACATACATATACACATATACATACACATACCCACACACACACACACATAAACAATTGCACTATGGGATCAAAGCCTCCCTTGCAGCCGGGCCCCTTACAGGTGTATGGCCTGTACCCCCTGGATGGGGGCTCTGGATACCAATGAATGACAGTACATCAGGGTTAGCATGCTATCTGTGCTGACAGTTAGAAGGTGTAATTCTCCACTCTCTTACTGACAGGGATCCTAAGTGGAGCTGCCATCTCTGATTTATAGCCCCATTTTTGTCATTTGGACAAATTATTTAAATTAACTACTGCAGGGATGGTATGTTGGCAACTTGTTACCATAACCACGCCAATAAACTTAAGTGGCTTTGGTGACTGGAGTGTGCTTTTAAAATGTTGTACTCCATGGAGTTTTAGTTAAAAAAATAAAAATTACAAATTTAAAGACTACTTCCCTCAATGCATAATTCTTTCCCGTTGCATCTGTCTTATCTTATAATGATGTCAACTCAGTTACTGAATCATGCAGATTGACTTTGCCAACTAAAGGCAGTGTGCCGATAATCTTTACATTCGTGTAGTGAAAGAGAAAGGGACTTTGTATGTAAGCATTCCAATAACTGTTCTGCTTTGAACAGCTTAGTGTAAACACCATTAATTCTGTAATAAGGAAGAGTTTTATTAGAGAAGCAAAGCAAATACAACAAATTAATCAATTAGACATATTATTTTTAATTGAACATAGTAATCAGAGGAGCATATTAAATGTGAATCAAGTGCAATAAAATTGGTTAAAAAAAAAATAAGTATATACCTTTAATTAAACGGGAAAAAACTATGTAGTGTAAGACTTCATAAAAAAAGTTATATGCAGTGAAATGGCAATGAAACGGAATTTAGAGCCAAAAAGATCCAGCTCTGGTATAGATAGCAGCGGGGTCCATTTAATAAATCCGCTTTATGATTCCTTTGAGCTAACTCATAGAAGAATTAAAAGGAAGAAAAGGAGAAAATTTGTCCCTCCAATAATGTAAAACAATAGTATTAATAAAAATCTCGAAGATACGTTATTAAGTCAAAAAAGAACTAACATACAATAGACAGGACAAGCCTATAGCTACCACACATAAAATAGTATGACTCAAAAGAGGCAAGCTACAACCAGGAGAAAAAAAAAGGGGGGTACAGGAAAGGGGGGTGAAGAGTAACACATATACGTGTAAATAATAAGGAAAATAATAAAGAAAGAAAAACCCGAAACTATATTGAACTGGCACACAGATAATACTATATTGATGCTTAATCTGCAATCATATAATCAGCCAAAGTTCAGTATAGAGGGTCATATTTGATACCGAGAACAGACACAAAAAAGAAAGAAACCTGATTGATGGACGTAATCAAACAAGCTCTACAAAGCAATAGCTGTCTAAGCAGCAGTAAATGTCGGTGCAACAGTGTAGCAAGTATGTGTCTGACACTGGATATTGTAACATCAATGATGTTCCACTAACCATCAGACACAAAGTACATCACTGTGTCTGAAATACGTGGAGCAAAACTAGTAAAGGTAATAAGCAGATTATAACTTGTTGCAATGCAATGTAATAGGAGAACAACCGTTCTAAAGAATCACAGACCAATTCCCATTCAATAATATATGTCCCGCTAATGCTGGTGTACGCATGAGAATAGAACGGGGCTGTCTCACAGTCCTATGCTCTCTTAAAAAAAACGATTTAAATATGCTTGCTGATTATAGCTACTAGAGCTACAGATTTCTATTCTGCATAAAGATAAGAGCTACATCGATGACCCACATATATTAGGTGTTTAGCAATAGGGTTAGTGAATAAATAAAAATAGATAATAGGGAGTAAGATAGTAAGAAAAGTTTTAATACCAATCTGGCCTATTTACGCTACTAGATTAGTCTACAGCAGCCTTTTCATTCTTATTATTGAAGTGTTAATCTTTCTTTATGACTGACTGACTGACTGACTAGATAGATTGGGGGATCCCAATTTGGGTCAAGAGGAAATCACTAATGTATTTTCCATCAACCCACTAACTTTTGATGACATTACAGGCAGTAACATTAATACCGCTTTCTTTGGCATTCAGAAGTCTTATCAGGACCAAATAAGAAGCTTTTGGGAACTTACCAGTTTGAAGCAATATCTAGAACAGAAATTGGTCCCTAGAGGATTATGCCCTGATATTTTATTGCCAGATAAAATCCAGACAGAGGAGCAGCTCAGTGAATGGAATACCATTTTACTGGACTGCTCCTTTAAGTTAATGGATTTTCTGGTAAGGTTGGAAACTACCAACTTTGAGGCTATGAATACAAAATTGAAAAACAATATTTCTTCCATAAGAAATTATAAAAAACTGATGATCTATATGTTCACATGGAAAATAAGTTACAACAAAATATCAACAACTTTAGACACCATCTGAAAGTAAAAAAAAAAACACAATAAGTTTCAAAGGGACTTCAAAGACTTTAAAAATGGGAAAATCTTTAGGCAATCTAATAAGTACCCTAAGCGTCGAAATACTTATCGAGGTTCCTCATCTGGCGAGACTGACTGGTCCGATCAGGACCAACCACTACAAACCAGACGTAGGTCTCCATTTAAAACGCAACAGTGATCAAACAAGAGAGTCGAATCTCCATGCAAGTAACAATAAAAGTATTCTAAAGAATCCATACAAGATAGTGTCATTTCTTGACATTCCAATTCCTGTTGACATTGACAACCCTCACGCCTCCACTACTCCCCCATCAAACCCTTTTTTAGAACAGGATCAGCCCCGACAACAACGGGGCCGATTGAGAGACAGGGATCGGTGGGCATACAAGAATCAGAGTCGTCCCCCAAGGCAATATCCTCCAACAAAATAATAAATGTATCAGATTTTCAATTATCAAAACATATTACCCTGTTGAATAAGGGTTTATCGTTTGTACCCACTCCAACCTGTAATAAATTTAATTGGTCTAAAGACCTTAACCTTTTTGGCCGCAAGCTGGCCCTTAATATCTTGCATGCTAAAAAAGATCAACTAATGGCGAATGAAATGGGCCTTTCTGTACAGGATTATGAGCTATCCAAAACTTTGGACAGTCTTCTAGCTGAAAACGATGTCTCCAGACCCCTAACTGATTTTAAGCCACAAAGTTACTTTACTCCGAATTTTGCAGATACACCACATGTGGACCTCTTTGTCCAAATCTCACTAAATGAACTTGAAACGACAGTGAATCAAGGATCCACCACAAGCAATCTAAGCTTTATGGAACGTAAAGCCTTAAAAGATCTACAACAACAGACTGAGATTATTATAAAACCGGCTGATAAAGGGGGCAACATAGTCCTCATGAATCGGTCTGAGTATGTGGCTATGTGCATGTCACACTTGGATGACTCCACACACTACAGGACTCTCCCTTTAGATCCAACTAAGAACTTCATAAGGGAGCTGGACACTCTTCTTAATGATGCCTTAACCAAACAGGTCATTAATCTGGATGAATTCCGCTTCTTATTACCACACAAAAATCCCACTATTGCAACATTCTACTGTTTGCCAAAGATACATAAGCGTACGTGGCCTCCCCCGGGTAGACCTATTGTATCTGGGAACAATTGTCTCACACAACCCCTTAGCAAGTTTATTGAAAAGATTCTTCATCCTATGGTGTTGACCTTGCCATCCTACCTGCAGGATACAAAATCCACCCTTTTGACATTACAGGATATGACAGCCCCTCCCTATACCCAGCTGGTAAGTTTGGATGTGGTGGCACTATATACCAACATTCCCCATGAGATGGGCCTAAGAGCGTGTAGGTTTTTCCTAGACAACACTGCTTATAAGGATTTAAAAAAAAAAAAATTCATTCTTTCCATTCATGAGTTTATCTTAACACACAATTATTTTATTTTCAATGACCAATACTACTTACATATCTCCAGCACTGCCATGGGGACGTGCTGCTCCTATGGACAGGATCCGTCCCCCTCTTTGAGGATTTTGTAAAATCCCTCAATACTAATGACATCAATCTGAAATTGACGTATGGCATTGATGAACATGAATTGGTCTTTTTAGATCCTGTTACAACAGAATGGAACTATTCAAACAGAACTGTTTAGGAAGGCTACCGCCACTAACAGTCTGTTGCATTGGAATAGTCACCATCCTTATAAATTGAAAGCCTCCATTCCATATGGCCAGTACTTACGGGCAAGGCGCAACTGTTCGGTGGATCAAACCTTCTATACCGAATGCAAAATACTAAGGTCTCGTTTCAAGGAATTGGGGTACCAGAATCGGGTTTTGAAGAGCGCTTTCCATCGGGTGTGTGATATTGACAGAAATTCGAGCCTCCATTTCAGTAAACCAAAATCGGAACAAAAGGCCCCCCGCTGTATAGCAACGTTCGATCAAGCTTGGGGACCCATGTCCGAGATTCTTAAAAGGAATTGGCCGATACTTTTACACAACCCTGCACTTCGTAAAACATTACCAGAATACCCACCCCTAACAGCACGTAGACCTAGCAATCTACACGATCAACTTGTTCGGAGTCATTTAGCGTCTCCTTTACCTGCCATGAATTGGCTTACTAACACCAAGGGGACCTATAAGTGTGGCCACTGTAAGACATGTCAGTATATCCTACCCTCTAAATCGACTACTTCTACACAAACCCACATCATTATAGAGACGAATGCTTTAGTGAATTGTAGCACCACACAAATAATTTACCTAATTACATGTAGCTGCAGAATTCAGTATATTGGAAAAACTTTTCAACAATTCAGACGCAGAATTTTGCAACATGTTACTTCCATTAACAATACACTGACACATCTTGAATTTCCATGATGGTAAATAAGATAATTTACACTTGCAGGCCATTGAAAAGCTACTTCCCAACCCCAGAAAGGGTGATTTTAATAAGGTTTTGTTGTGGAAGGAATCTCAATGGATATTCTCATTCAAGACCTTAGCTCCTCTTGGTCTGAATGAAGAATTTAATTACACACCATTTATACATTAACAAACCTTAATTTTTCTGTTCCATTTCCTATTGTAAACTTTTGACTATCATCTTCAGTTTTCTATAAGTATACCCCTTTACTTCAGATTAACACTTCATTATATACATATTTTGATAATATATCTAAAGTTTTGATAATACATTTAAAGTTCTTTCTATTGAGTGAAATTATTTAGACTGCAATACTTTATTAGGTTTATTTATTTTTATTGATATTAAAATTTGGCTATCAGGTTTTTGTATAGTACATTACCATATAGTATATGTCTTATAATTAATACTGTAATCTTCTAATAAATTGTTTCTTACCCAACATATACTTTGTTGTTAGTAATTGCATCAACTTTTTACTACAAACCTTAACTAAACCACTTATATGTACACTTTTTCAATATGGGTCACTATTGTCACATTTGTGTTATATTTACATGGTATGCTATTCCTTTGATATTTTGCATTGTAATATTGCACTGTCTATTAGGTCAATGCTTGTAATAATATCATCATGACCCCTTTTTAATCTCAATATAGGAGGTTCGCGGACATATCCTTTTTGAGTGATGCCGGCTACCGTACAGCACCTCCCCCTGTCCCCGGCAAGACCAATGACGACTAGGAGCGGGCTTTTTAAACTCCTTCAGATTGTGGAATCAGTTCCCCCTGACGACCTCTAATACAGGCGAAACGCGCGTCGGGATTTATACTTACCCGATACCCCTGTTTCCACGGCATTTATATACTTATTGCCGGCTACATCATACAGCCGGGCTGGGACTTTTCATGTAATTAGACCGTTTACCGCTGTCCTAAGGGAAACCGGGGAATCTTTCACCGATCAGGGTCTTCACTCTTTTAGACCAATTTCCACGCAATCTAAATGTAGACCTGGCATATTTATCTCTATTAGGAGTATTCTGGCTATATTTACTGCCTCTATTATTATATAGTTACCAAGCCTTGAACCTCTCTCTCTGCTCTACTTTACTATACTAGGTGCCCCTGAAGGCACTTTTCTTACTATCTTACTCCCTATTTTCTATTTTTATTTATTCACTAACCCTATTGCTAAACACCTAACATATGTGGGTCATCGATTTAGCTCTTATCTTTATGCAGAATAGCAATCTGTAGCTCTAGTAGCTATAATCGGCAAGCATATTCAAATCGTTTTTTTTAAGAGAGCATAGGACTGTGAGGCAGCCCCGTTCTATTCTCATGCGTACACCAGCATTAGCGGGACATATATTATTGAATGGGAATTGGTCTGTGATTCTTTAGAACAGTTGTTCTCCTATTACATTGCATTTCAGCAAGTTATAATCTGCTTATTACCTTTACTAGTTTTGCTCCACGTATTTCAGACACAGTGATGTACTTTGTGTCTGATGGTTAGTGGAACATCATTGATGTTACAATATCCAGTGTCAGACACATACTTGCTATACTGTTGCACCGACATTTACTGCTGCTTAGACAGCTATTGCTTTGTAGAGCTTGTTTGATTACGTCCATCAATCAGGTTTCTCTCTTTTTTGTGTCTGTTCTCGGTATCAAATATGACCCTCTATACTGAACTTTGGCTGATTATATGACTGCAGATTAAGCATCAATATAGTATTATCTGTGTGACAGTTCAATATAGTTTTGGGTTTTTCTTTCTTTATTATTTTCCTTATTATTTACACGTATATGTGTTACTCTTCACCCCCCTTTCCTGTACCCCCCTTTTTTTTTTCTCCTGGTTGTAGCTTGCCTCTTTTGCGTCATACTATTTTATGTGTGGTAGCTATAGTTAGGGCTTGTCCTGTCTATTGTATGTTAGTTCTTTTTTGACTTAATAAAGTATCTTTGAGATTTTTATTAATACTATTGTTTTACATTATTGGAGGGACAAATTTTCTCCTTTTCTTCCTTTCAATTATTCTATTAGGGTTACCCCCTGTTTTGTCCCCTTGGATTTCTGGCCAACTAGTTTCTATTTAACTCATAGAAGAATATACATAGGGTAGTACTGTTAAAAAAAAAAAAAAAAAAATATCCTTCAACACCATTAAATTATATATCACTGGTATTCAACACCATATCCTCACCACTTGGCCTAATAAACAATGTTTCCTGTCCTCTTACCAAGTAAAGGCCATACTGAAAGGTATCAAGGACTCCACCCCTGCACCCACGCCATCCAGATTACCTATACACAATCTCCTATTCCAGTCACTGTCAAACCTTTTAGATACTTCACCATTTGAAACTCACACAAACCAGGTCATGAAAATGGCCATCTATTTGGCGTTTTATGGGTTCCTTCGGCCCAAAGAGTTTACCACCACTAATTACAACACCCCAAACTTCCTCACAAGATCCAACCTGGTAAAAACACATGATCACTATTTACTGTCCCTACATCATACAAAAACCAGTGTGAAGGGACAGACAGTCACTATTACCCTACTGGTAATAAATGGTGCCCCGTGAAAGTCTTCGACCAATACCTTTCTTCCTTTTCAATAGCACCACATCAACCACTGCTAGCATTACACGGTAATACCCTCACTATCAGTAAGTTCATGCTCTATGTAAGAATGTTGTTAGTAAGGTTGGGACTAAATCAAATCAAATATTCAGGTCACTCATTTCGAATAGGAGCGGCTACTACCGCTTCAAAGAGGAATATTCCTGCGCACATCATTAAAATATTGGGCCGGTGGAAGTCCACAGCTTACTCCAGATACATACCCCAGCCAGTTCAGGAAGTACAACAAATATCAGTGCTATAGCTAGTAGTGACAATGCTCAAAACACCCGTGTGGCATCCCCGTTGGCATTCGCTTCCTGGTTCTGGTCACATGGGATATTTAGATGCCACTTGCAGATCGAAACCCGGAAGTGGCATCTAAATATCCCATGTGACCGGAACCAGGAAGCGAACGCCAACGGAGCAATGGAACGCATGATGCGTTCCAGAGGAAAAAACCAGCGAATTTCAATAATTAAGAACATTTAAAAATGGACATGGACTTTTCAGCAATTACACAGCCAACTGAGGAAGGTTTTAGTGGAGTATCTATTTTGATAACTGCACATCATTGCTCTGTTTATTCAAGGCACTGTCATTCTTTATAATTGAGAGTGCATTTATCATGTAATATTTTGATGTAGTGCCCTATAGTGTTCTTCGGTTTGCTGTATCTCTGCTCTATATTCAGCGCTATTGTTTCACAACATGATTAGGAAAAGTTCTAATAGTCACTGCCTATTTATCTGTGCCAAATATATATATATATATATATATATATATATATATATATATATATATATATTTGTGATTAACGAGGTATTGTTATCACATAATTTCATTTTTTAGTATTTTCATTTGGCAAAATATATGTAAGCAGTTTTCTATGAAAACACCAGGGATCCTACATATATGGACAGGTTAAAGGTACACTCCAAGGACCATCACTACTAATTCTATTGAAATTACTATTTTTATAAAATGAAAAAAAGAGGATACACTATTTACACATGAGTTTGCAGGAATCTATCACCTGCAAACTTTCTTTGTCCTATGGATGAGCATAACCACCTAGCAAAGCTAGTGGTTATGTGGCAGCCTCCCAGAAAATTCAAAGATGAGTTGTGATACAGAGGTTAAAGCGTCATGAGTGCAGATAAGACACAGGTTTGATAGAAAATAGACACCATTCTTGCACAGGGT